GATGTATTATTCAGTGCAGAGTAGCCGAAGAAAAGTCGCGACCGAGAGGAAGAAACGATGCAACTCGATAAAGCCACCGCACCAGAAAGCCAAAACCATTGGCAAGCGTTGATTTTTTCCCTTTTTCTATCAATTCCTTAATCATGATTTAAATATGTTTTTATTAGGAACCGACCAAAAATGGCCTGACCGAGAGGAGGAGCCACCGTAGAAGGAGGAACTAGCGGCGGAGCAAAGTGGTGTCGCCACGCTGGAATCCTAAATCGACATCCCGATAAGATTTTTGCCCTTTTTGACCATTTTTTTCGTATTTCCATATAATTTTGACGTAAGATTTGTTTTAGCAAAAAAACTCAAGAAATCTAGGAACTGAAAATCGTCGGAAAATGTAGTGAAAAAAGTGGTATTCGAGACACCGACCCAGGGTAAAAATCTCTCTCTCTTTTTTCTTTTTCTGTAAAATTGAAGCTAAACTAATAAATAAACAAAATATTTAGTTAATCTGCAGTTCTCTAATTGATTAAAGTACAAGTTGTCAGTGGAGCAAGTAACCGGTCAATTTCTGTCTATTTGAGTTCTTAATTGCAGTTAATATCCCTACAGTTGTTATTATACTATTTCGTTCACTTTACGATTTATTTTGATATGTTTATTCTGAATTTTATGGCGAACACGGTAAGGTCCCCCTATACGTTTTCTCCGTTACTAGTTGTGTGTTTACTATGTTTCTATCGGTATACTGTATTCCTATTTCATGTACTTACCTTAAAATGTGAATGCATGTGGTTGTGATATAGATATACGGGCCCTTAGGACTAAATAATAAATAAAAAGAGTTTACTGGGTGACTTAACAAATAGCGTACAGACTTGGTGCATAAGGTAAACCCTACAGTGGATATTGTCCTCAGTCGAACGGGACTAAGAAGTCACATACTGAAAGAGATTGAAAATTATTTTGATTACATTTGTACCGGACGGGGTATTGAAACGGTTGTATATTTGGTCGCCCATTACTAGACAATGTATGAGGACGATTGTTTGATTAATAAAATACATATTTGGTCCACGTGTAGTGGAGACCCCTATGGACCCCCAGCAACACCGATAGACAAGTTAACACGATAAAGGTGAATAAGTTCGAACCCAGCTTTGGGGAATAATAAAATGTTAATTATTACATGTCTTTTAGAATACGTAGTGTAGATTACTATCTTGATTCTTATCTTCATAAATGATATCTTGGAACTTACAGGTGAGTTAAAGAAATTAATATTTTCAGTTAAATGAGTTTTATTAAAAAAATGAGCTCAATTGGTTATTTTACGATTTCTATAAACTTTTGATTTTCTGTATCAGTGGTAAGACATTGATATTCTTACTGTAATACCCGGAATTTAATTTGTAATATTCAAATTAATATATATAATTTAATTTTTTATTTTTTTAATTATTATTTAATACAAAATGGGAGAAAATTAGATGGATGATGAAATTGAAAATAATTTTGGAAAAAATTGGTGAAAATTTAGGTTTTGGGAGTATTGAAAGAAAATTTAGAAAAATAGGGTCAAAACGTAATTTAAAAAAATTGTACTACGTAGGACGCCCAGTCTTATATCACCCTGGTAAGGGTAATATAGTAGCCGACACACTCAGTAGGAAAAGTACGGGTATATTAACTCACTTGATAGTTTCAAAATGCTGAAAAATATGGGTCGCACAATAGGTACGACTTCAGGACCTAAAGAGAGTCACATGTTTGGCCCATCTGACTGTTCAACCTGAGTTGATCCAAAGAATAAAGGAAGTTTAGTCCATCGATTCCACCTTATCAGCCCTCAAGAAAGATGCAGAATATGTAGTTAATTCAGAATTTTGAGTCTCTACTGATGGGTTGCTTAAATTTTAAGACAGGATGTGTGTTCCAGATGACAGTGAGTTGAAAAGAGGCATCATGACAGAGGCTCATAGTTCAAAGTTTACCATGTATTCTGGAAGTACTAAGATATATCAAAGTATGCGACCCTGATTTTGGTAAAACGGGATGAAAAGAGATGTGGTCGACTTTGTTTTTAAGTGTTTGGTATGTCAACAGGTCAAGGTAGAACATCAATACCCAAGCGGGCTACTTCAACCATTACCAATTCTAGAGTGGAAGTGAGAATATATCACAATGGATTTCGTGATAGGATTGCTTAGGGTACGCTCAAGAAATGATGTCATCTGGGTAATTGTTGACCGACTTACCAAGTCTTTCCACTTCTTAGCTATCAGGATGACTG